GGGAAGAGGGGGGGGTAGATTTACAAACTCTCAAAACAAAAGTATCCCCAGGCAAAAAAGTGCATTACTCCCGCGATAGCAGTAACATTTTCTGGCCTTGTGACTTCTGGTGGATATAGTCAGTTAGAGCAAAATGCCTTGGAAAAGGAGAACATGGGACAAACCAAAAAGAACTCATTATACGGAACACGCAAGCGTAGTGATAGGACTCCTGACCAGTTTCACCGGGGTTAACGTTAATGTCTATCAGCCAATACCACTGTAACCTCAAAAAGGGGGCATACAACTTCATTTCCCAAACCCTACAGAGAGTGTACGATGGACAATAAATCAAAGGTAAGATTAACGAATGTATTTTTAGGATTAAAACACCGCCGGTTGTGGTTGAAAAATTACAGGGGGCAATACGGCTGATGGACGTGTATGAGAGACAGCTATTCCCAGGTCGAGAAGGTTGCGTTGACAAAATCTGTTTGGGAGCATACTCAGACGTTGTAAACGTGCGAATGTAGTCAATGATCGACAGTTCGGCCGTTGCTTCCGATGAAGTCGGGCGTGTGCTTTACAGCATGGTGGTGGAGGGATTATGACTTGCGCGCGCGAATTAGTCTATAGTGGTAATGGATTTGTGCTACATCTACCGTACTCGCTAGCTTCCTCTGGGTCCGGCGCTAAGGCATATTGAAGAAAATAGGATGCAGAAGAGGTCGCCGGTGACAGGCGCAATAGGAAGCCGCGTCCAGGCACGCCACCACATCCCCACCTATGTGCGGTATCTTGTATGGGGTTGTCTACCTAATAACGCCTGCCATGCCCTAATCTAGCCCCGGTGTTGGTCCAAAGCATTTAGGGAACATTAATCACTGACCAAGTAGATGCCTTTACTGATATCAGAACTGGCTTCATTCGGGAAGATTCAAGATTGAATCAATAGAAGCGCAACCTGCAAGGCTTCTAACAACAACCGAGTCCATTAAATCCGGAGAATACTGCTGTGACTGTAAGAAGTGAATCGTTCTGGCGCGAAAACGTTCAATTAGAAAAACCGTGTTAATTCCAACATTTGCGCCCAAACTCCACCATTAAATACATAGGCCAGGCCTGCTAAGAAACAGGATCTGCCGCCGATATTATGCTTTAAATACAT